TCATGTACCCTTCTTAGCCAGCTGGGATTTAACCTTTTAGACTGACAGTGGTCAGTCAGTCTCTTTCTCCCTCCTTCCTCATGACCATTATTTTTCCTCTGATGTTTTTCCAGTCATCTCTTGGTTGGATGAAGTTTATCTTCCAGTAGATTTCCTAATCAGAGCTCATGAAAACAGATTTCCCTAAGTTCTTATCCTTGAAACTTGTTCTATAGCCCTGATGCTTGAAGAAAAGTTTGACTGGTTGTAGAATTCCAGGTTCCTGCTTTCTTTCCTTGAGTTTTGGAAGACACTGTTCTGTTGTTGTCTTTGTAAGCTATTGCAGATTATTTTTTGAGAACTCTAATGATGGTTTGATTCCTCTGATTTTTTAAGTTATTTGATCTTTTTGCTTGAGAGCCTTGAGCATTTTTTTTCTTTATCTTTGAAGCCCGTTAGTTTTACCTTGGCACCAGAGATGATTGTTCTGAGAACATTTCCTGGGTACCTTTTGGCTCTTAAAGTATGTACCATCAGATTTTCTTTTAATTTAAAGAAAGTCTTGCTGAATTATGTTTTTATATATTAGTTTTCTTGCCCAGTTTTGTCTTTCTTCTTAAGGGGACCTAATTATAGGTGTTTCCTTCCCTTCTTTCTAATTTCCACTGCTTCTGTTGGTTCATTTCTTAGTCGTGGCTGCATTTTTGCCTTTCCTCAGTGCCTTTGCTGAGGTTTATTTACACTCTGTTCCCTCTTATGCATCTTGTACTGTAGCAATTTGTCTTTTTCTTCCATCCCTTTCCAGGTTTCAGTAAATTCTCTTTCATTTTTTTTCTGTTTATTTTCAGTGGTTGAATTGCACTTTCAAGGTATTTTTTTAATAACTACAAATGGGTACTTAAGGCCGCTTAATTCATTTCAGAATGTTGTGCTCAGTGTCTTCCTCATGGTCACGTTTATGTGGAGCTGGAAGAAAATTATCAGCAGTAGAGGTGTTTGGATTCTTTGTTCAGGTTTTTCAAGATTTGTATGTATTTATTCATATTCTTCTCTCCATTTTTTTTTCTTTTTGGTATGGGGCAGTATAGAGGATTCCTATTTCAATGGTAGCCTTTTCTAGTAATGTAGAAAGTACAATTTCTCTAATTGGCATTATTATTATTGAGAGTTTAATCCTCCTTTGTCTTACTGGATCCCATTCCCCATCCCTGGGCTTCTAACAAATCTCCAAAGAGCCTCTCTCTCTTCCTTTTGACTTTCTTCTTATCCAGAAATGATGCTACAGAGGACCACCATGTTGATTTGCCTGTAGTTAGTATTCTGACTTATCAGGGAGCTTTTCAGTGGTTTTCATACCTAGAGTGAACTTTTATTCCAACAGGAGTCTTAGATCTACATCTAGAATTACAAAATTGCTGCAATCTCCCCTCTTCTCTCTTCCACTTTTTATTCCAGACTGTTTTTGTTCACCATAGGGCTTATAGCAGGAGTGGAAAGACAACTTTCTGAGATTTGTTATATATATATTTTTTTAATTAAATTCATTTAATATCTGGGCCTCTTCTGTTTTCTGGGTATGCTGAGCATGCAACTAGAAAGAACGGGGCTGGAATTAAAGCCAGGACTGTGTGATTGTAAAGCTTTTACTTGTGTTATACAACAGAGAGATAGACCAGGGTCATGGGATATACAGGTGCTAGAGAAAGCTACACATGTGAGCAGTGTCTTTTTTGATCAGCCGCAGTCTACAGCCTCCTCTGTAATGTGGTAGTCATTCCCTCCTTTTGCTGCTGACTATGGGAAACCCTACATGCTGATTATTAATTCTACCAACTGCATATAGGACTAAATATTATGTCATTGACAGCTCTGGAATTATGTTATCACCCCCTTCCTCATTTTACTAGAGTGGCAGATCCAGGAGAACAGAAATCAGAACTTTGTTTGTTTGTTTGTTTGTTTAAGATTTCTTTGAGAGAGAGTGTGTGCATGCAACGTGAATGAAGGGGAAGGGCAGAGAGAGAGGAAGAGAGAGAATCTCAAGCACACTCTGCACTGTACACAGACCTACACATGGGGCTCGATCTCAGGACCCTGAGATCATGACCTGAGTTGAAACCAAGAGTTGAATGCCCAAAAGACTGAGCCACCCAGGCAGCCCAGAATCAGAGCAACTTCCATGGCAACCTTGGGCCACGTGGAAGGTGAGAGATTTTAGCCAATGATGATGCAACTCTCAGGCGAAGAACTGGCTTAAACTCTGCTGGCAGAGTTCCCCAGTACAAAATAATTCTAAGCTCTAAGGACTTCTCTTAGATTCCATTCCTCCTTTTCTTGCCTTTTCTCTAGAATTTGATACTACGGACTTCCTACTCCCTTAAAAATCATCTTCATGACACTAGACTACAGCTTCTTTTGAATGTGCCTTCTTTGCTTCCTCTTCTGTGTATAGTTCCCTTCCCTTACCCCACGAACCTGCACACTTTCCAAGCTCTGGGCTAACCCTTTATTCTTCTCTTAAAACTTTCCCTTAGAGGATGTACTTACTTGCATGACTCTTGGCATTATTCCTAGTTAAATATCCCAAGACCTGTCTCTCTTGCCTCTCTTGGCTTTTGGATGCACTTTACTGATGAAAGCCTTTTCGTAGACATGTGGCCCTAGAAGTGGGGAAGGGAGAGACCTGTCTGCATTTTCTGCCATCTCTTCAAAGTCAGCACATCCTAAGGAGAACTGTGTCTTTCCTCCAAAACCAACTATTTTTGATGAAATTTCATGGATGTCACTTTCTTTTAGTTGCCCAAACTGGTAACCTGCATGTCACTTTTCCTTGATTTTTTTTTTTTGACAATTCATTTATTTTAGAGATACAGAGAGAGAGCACGTGCAAGAGAGAGAGAGCACACACACCAGTTGGGGGAGGGGCAGCAGGAGAGAATCTTCAAGCAGACTGCCCACTGAGTGTGGAGCCTGATGTGGGGTTTTATCTCACAACCCATGAGACCATGATCTAACTGTCTTCCTCAGTACAAACCTCGTATGAGTAGGCTGCCTGGTATACTTAATCTTTCCCTAAATGTACAGTGTTTATTTTGTCTCCACAAAACCTAAATGTTTGTTTTCCCACCTTTTCAGTCATTTTTTAAATCATTTTTAAAATTTATTTTCAGCATAATAGTATTCATTGTTTTTGTACCACACCCAGTGCTCCATGCAATCCGTGCCCTCTCTAATACCCACCACCTGGTTCCCCCAACCTCCCACCTCCCCACCTCTTCAAATAGTTCAGATTGTTTTTCAGAATCCATAGTCTCTCATGGTTCACCTCCCCTTCCAATTTCCCCCAACTCCCTTCTCCTAACTCCCCATGTCCTCCATGCTATTTGTTATGCTCCACAAATAAGTGAAACCATATGATAATTGACTCTCTCTGCTTGACTTATTTCACTCAGCATAATCTCTTCCAGTCCCATCCATGTTGCTACAAAAGTTGGGTATTCATCCTTTCTGATGGAGGCATAATACTCCATAGTGTATATGGAACACATCTTCCTTATCCATTCGTCCATTGAAGGGCATCTTGGTTCTTTCCACAGTTTGGCGACCGTGGCCATTGCTGCTATGAACATTGGGGTACAGATGGCCCTTCTTTTCACTACATCTGTATCTTTGGGGTAAATCCCCAGTAGTGCAATTGCAGGGTCATAGGGAAGTTCTATTTTTAATTTCTTGAGGAATCTCCACACTGTTCTCCAAAGAGGCTGCACCAACTTGCATTCCCACCAACAGTGTAAGAAGGTTCCCCTTTCTCCACATCCCCTCTAACACATGTTGTTTCCTGTCTTGCTAATTTTGGCCATTCTAACTGGTGTAAGGTGGTATCTCAATGTGGTTTTAATTTGAATCTCCCTGATGGCTAGTGATGATGAACATTTTTTCATGTGTCTGATAGCCATTTGTATGTCTTCATTGGAGAAGTGTCTGTTCATATCTTCTGCCCATTTTTTTGATATGATTATCTGTTTTGTGTGTGTTGAGTTTGAGGAGTTCTTTATAGATCCTGGATATCAATCTTTTGTCTGTACTGTCATTTGCAAATATCTTCTCCCATTCCATGGGTTGCCTCTTTGTTTTCTTGACTGTTTCCTTTGCTGTGCAGAAGCTTTTGATTTTGATGAAGTCCCAGAAGTTTATTTTCGCTTTTGTTTCCTTTGCCTTTGAATGCCTACTCATCCTTGATGACTTTACACCAAGCTTGCTTTCCTCCACACACACTTAACCTCCAAGAGATTTTCCCGTGTCCAAGTTCAGGCAGCTCTTCTTAACCTTCCTAGAGATCTGTAACCTGAAAAGTCATGTTTCTCCCCATATGGACTGATGAGGTAGAATATGGACAGGGAATCCACAACAAGCACTGCTATTCAGAAAGGGGAGGAAAGGGGGGCACTTGGAAGGCACTGGTCCTTAACAATTTTGAAACCTGTCTGAGCAGACTCTGAGCACAGGGCCCCTGATTTGGGCCGGGGCTGTGCAAGTCACGTGGGTGTGCCAAGCACCAGGATGGGAAGAGAACCAGGTCTGTGAGTAGACAGTATGGAGTATGTCACTTCTGGGCGGAACTCTCAGGTGCCGAGGTAGGCCTCAGTAAGGGAACACGTGGTGTCAGTGGGAAGGTGCAGGTTCTTCCCTTGGGTCAAGGTCACACAAGCATTTGGAGTCCTGGTAGCTGCACCCTGTGGAGGGAATCATGGCCTCACAGCCTCCTAACATTGACCTTGGATCCCTGAAATGTCTTCCTCGTGGAGAGGAAGTGTTGCAAGAGAGCTCACGCCATGCGGCTTGGGGTCCCTGAGAGGGAGCGCCCCGAGAGCCCACACTTCTGGGTGGGCATACTAATGCAACTAAGGCTTCATAAAGCACTCTACCTAAAATTCACTCTCCCTGGAATCACTCAGATAGAGAACACTCACTCCCAAGAATCAGGTTTCCTTGGAGAAAGTTCAGGAGCGGTCAGGGAACAGAATAGGGTCCGTGCACGTGTCTGTACCCTTTATCTCTTCCTGTGGGCACAGGTACTTATCAGGAGCCCCTGGGAAGCATAAAGTGCCAAGAATCTGATTGGATCACTTTTCAGACAACTTGTAGGTCTGGAGGCTTGTTTTAGAAGTTCCGTAAGGGAGACCGCCAAGACTGCTGTCCCAGGTACTGACGAGATGGAGTCTCAGGAGAGAGGTTGGAGACTCCCAGGGACCCCCTATCCACGCCAGGCAGATCTGGAGATGCCCAGGCAGAGTGGGCTTGCCTGAGTGGAGACTGCAGTTTGGGTGGGTGTGGGCGTGGAGTGTCTGGGACAGGTGATGGGGCCCAGCCAGCCTCTTCTCCGCTTGGACTAATTGGTTTCTCTTTCATTTTATGGAACTTGACAGCACTGGTTGTGGCTTTTCGTGGTTGACTGCCCACGGTAGTACCTAATTACAGAGGAGATTTTTTAAAGCAACAATGAGCACGTTTTCTAAATATGTTCCCAGTCCATTCCCTCCCTGGGTAATTGGACCCTGAGAGAAAGCAGGGCGGGGTTGGTGTTCCCAGAGGCCTCCTGTCAGCCAGTCCCAGGCAGGTCCCATCGGGGTCACTCAGGAGCACAGTTCCCCACGAACTCCGGCAGGGATGGTAGGGAGGGTGCCCGAGACCCCAAGGCCAGACCCCAGTCCCATGAGCCTCTCACCCGTGCTTTCTTCGTGACGACTGAGGTGCCCCTCGAGAGCTAGGTAGGAAATTATACACTTCAGCCGAAGAAGCGAGGTGTTCTATCAAAAGAAAAATAAAAATATCGAGCGGCTTCTGGGGAGATCAAAGCCAGACTCAGTCGAAAGCTCCTGGCATAGGTGATTCTGAGACTCTTTTCTTTGTTCTTTTGGAGAAAAGGGTAGTTGCACTCAGAACAGCATACTTACTCATCTGCCCAGTTGTTCTGTATTCATTCCATGCATTTGACCCCGTGCTAGACTGGGGAAGGGTCTGTTGCCCAAGCGTGCCTGGGCAAGGAGAGGCACTAGGGGATCTGGAGCAGGGTCGCAATCTGGCCCCCCGAAACCCAGAAGGAGAATAGAAACCATCCAGAGACTTCATGCCTCTGTATCCCCAACACCCCGCTGGTGTCAGACACCACAGTCCTTCCAGCTGCCTCTCAGCAGAGGAAGAGTAAAGAAGATGCCTGTGGTTAGCTCGCTGGGCTATTTCCTTATGTCTGGCTGGCCACCTCCATCTGCCCTCTCCCTGCTCAGGAAGGCCTGGAAATCTCTACCAATTAAAGCTGCAGGCCAGATGCAGAAGGAGGTCAGTGTGAGGCATGAATCACAGGGACTTCTCAACTGGAGAGATGTTCTCATAACCACCGAAGGATGCTCAAGGACACACCATAACGCCCTGTTGCACTGGGCGTGTGTGCGCGCGCGCACACACACACACACACACACACACACACATGCACGGCCTCACACAAGGAAATTTAAACTCTTTGCCCCTTATCTATCCTTTCTGGAGACTCACATGGAAATTGTGTGTCACTTCACGCCACCAGAGTGACCTCACCTTCGGGCTCATGTTTAAACTCCATCTGTTCCTAAGGCCATGAGAAGGGGCTGTGCAGGCCTCCCACGAAATCCCTGGGTCACATAATGCTCCCCTTCTCAGTGTGGAACCCCACTTCTGGGACAAGGGGGGAGCATCTGCCTCCCTCCCCAACTTCCCACACAGAGCAGAGAAATACTGCCCAGATGTCTCCATCATGGGCCCTCTGTCCAACTTGGCCTGCACGTTAGGACCGTGGTTTTTAACTCCAGCTGCTTGTCAGGTTCATCAAAACTTTAAAAAAAAGAAAAAGTATGCATAGCTCCGATGGGTGCGTATCAGACTCTCAAGAGCATTGAATCACCCCCCCAGGCCCCGAGGATGTGGTTAAGTTACGGATTATGATCCCATACACCTGCCTACGGGTGGGCCTGTGACTCAGCATTTCTGACAAGTTCCCGGGGTTGCTGCTGTCCCAGGGACAAACTGGAAGGGACCAAATTAGGGAGTTAGGGTTCTCAACATGGAGTATAACCTCTGGGGAGCTTTTAAATATCCTCTCACCCAGGCTGACCCCCGACCGACCAATTCATAGTTTCTGGGGCTGATGCCTATCCATCAGTATTTTGTACAGTATTTTGCAGCCCTGGTTGAGAACCCCTGGTCCAGGAGCTGTTTCCTGCAGGGCAGGGGGTGGGGTGGGGTGGTGTCTGTGTTCAGCTGCTTAGCTCCCATCCCAGGCACGGACCGTCTACCTATTCTCCAAAATCCATTTTCCAACCAGCTGGGCACTGCATATTTTTTTTTTTTTCCAGACGGCTAGACAATACATATTATCATCACAGAAGAGCTCGTCAAAACATCTCCCTCTCTACAGATAACCAACAGCAATATTAGCCAAGACCGTGGATCGGGTACATTCTCTTTACACAGAAAATTAATTCTCAATTGTCAGCAAATGCTCTCTTGGCTTCGCTCCCTCTCCTGGAGAAGTCGCCCTCGTACAGTTACACAACCCCATAGCCATGTGGTGTGTAGACACGCCACATGCCTGGGATGAACCTCTTAAACAATCCCTCCATTTTTTACTTGGCACCATTTTCGACTTCTTGGTCCTTCCTTAAGAACCCTGAGGATTGAGGATCTTGCTTCCCTATATCTTCCGCCTTCTTCGGTATCATCTGTGTTTCTGAACTTCTGTTCCCAGCGTTGTTCATGAGGCCTTTGCCCACCTTGTTGGCCTGGCGGGCTCCTACCTGTCTTTCAGCTCCTGCTTTCTGGGCTTTGGGAGGACCGCATCTCCCCAGACCAAGTCAGGCACTGCCATTCTAAGCACCTGTGTGCTCTCCCAGCAGTCCCTGAGGCTGTCTGTTATAACCCTCGGTATATGGTGCCGTATTTGCTGAGTTCCTAGTCTGCTTCTTCCACTAGATGTGAGCTTCTCAAGAGTGGGAGTGGCATACCCACCTCTCAGTCCACACCATCTTGCACAATGCACAGAACATAGAGGCTCAAATAGTATTTATTGAATAAACCAATAGTTCCTCTCCTCTTTCATGCTTTTTTTTTTTTCTCTTCTTCTTCTGGTCTTCCTACTGCATTGTATAAAAATGTACAGAAGCCGATCTGCTTGAGCATGATTCTGACTGGCATATTTGCTCAAATCAGTCCATACCCAATGAGAGTATAATTGGAATACCCAGTTCTTCCAAAACCCTGCCAATCATTCTGCTGTGCAAATAGGCACAGGTGATTGGTTCTAATCAAAGTCATTAGGGTGGTTCTGGAATGATCCTGCTGCCATATGTAGATAATTATGGCAGAAGTCTAAATTTTGGATGCTAGCCAATCCAAATAACATTAGCAAGAAGAATTTGCATAGAACAAAAGGAGAAGGATGGCACAGTGTTTGGACATAAATAATAATGACTGGTATTTATATAGCGTTTTCTATGAGGCAGGCATCCTCTACGTGGTTTCCGTACATTAGCTCCTTCACTCAACAGAAGAGCCCTACGAGAGAAGTATTCAGTGGCATAGGTGGGCAAACTAAGGCCTCAGGAGAGTAGGTAACCTGGCCATTTACTACATCTAGTAGTAAATGGTAGGTCTGTTGGGACCCAGTAGATTAGTTTCACGTCAGTGCTCTTCCCTGATACTCTGCACTAGAGAGAGGGCTCCTTCTAGAACAGAACATCAATCACATGTCTCAGTGTGACTGTTAGCATTCCCCATAGTTCATGTGTTAGTAAGAGACCTAACTTGATCCCTGGAAGCAGAACAGACCATCTTATTAGAGTAGCAAGCCTCAAATCTTAGGTATACCAGTTGGCTTTCTTTCTTCTCTCTCTCTCTCTCTCTCTTTCTCTCTCTCTCTCTCACACACACACACACACACAGGCATACTCATCTGTCTGGAAGGAGAGACTCAGGAACCTTCAATGGACAGCTTATCTATAAAGGCAAATTAAATTTTTTTTCAGAGTAAGAACAGTGCTGCTGTTTTCCTAGAATTTTATTTCCTTTGGATATTAGATTGGCACACCAGAAAAAAAAGGCAGTTTGGCTGGTGGTTCCTAATTCTAAAATACTTCTGTTAATGATACCTCTGTCTGTCCTTACTTGATAGTTCTTTTGGGGTCAACCAGGAAACTAAGTCCCCGTCATGTGCTCTCTGGGCTGGGGTCAACCAGGAAGCTAAGTCCCCTTTCCCCATGAAGAAAATTAGAGTGAGAGGTCTGTGTCCCATAGTCCCTGTGAAATGAATTGACCCTCATTCTTGGAGATTTTCACCTCTTGTGAGAGCCATTTTGTTGGTGACATCATATTTGAAAAAGGAGTCAGTATTTTTGCATGACCATTTCTTTCAAGATGTGGTCTCCCTGATTATAAGCAAATATGACGTGATATGCTCAGACCAGGTAGACGCACCGCCTCTCTCCATCTCTGAGGTCAGTGGGAGAATCTGGGAGCTGATATTTTTAATAGAGTTCCCTGCAACAGACCGTTCCATGAAAGAAATGCACCCAGCAAGGTAAGGACTTTACAATAGCTTCCATCTTCTCTGTCCATTCTATGCCACATGGGAAACCATTATAACTTAATTATTTTAAAAAGAAAAGTAGTGTCAGTATCTTTAAAGCAGTGGCTCTCAAAGTGTGGCCCCCCAGACAAGCAGCATCTGTATTACCTGGAAACTTGGAGAATGTCCATTCTCCAAGAATGTCCATTCTTGGGTTCTAGTCTAGACTAGTCTAGACTTCCTGACTCTGGTGTGGGGATTCACAATGTGTGTTCTAATAAGCCCTCCAGGGAGAACCACTGTCATAAAGAAATAAGATATATTATTAGATCATGCATCTTAAGATATGATCTCACCCAAGTAGATGGACGCAAACAGTATATTATTTAAGTATCATGCCCTCAAAGGATATCCCAGCCAATATGTTAGCTCTGTCCCAGGCATAAAGCAAATTGTAAGGAGCTCGACATAAGCCACTGGGAAATTGAAGCCATTCATTTATTAGACCCCAGAAAAACACTTACTCGGTGTACAAACCATTATTTGCCCATTGATCAAGGCAAGGTGGGTTGGGTTGGAGGTTGATGATTAATTCAGATGATTCTTACTTAGAGGAGCTCAGCTGTCTTCCTTGCTAGGATATTAAAATGGAAGATTCTGAAAGTTAATTCAACCAGGGACTTTAATCACCCAAGGTGATAGGATGCACTGAGAGACTGTAAAGATTGGGTGCCAATGTCAAATTCGAATGTTATTGCTTTTAACTGGGGCTATTGCAAGACTCACAGAGCAAATGGAACAGGCACAGTGTGATCTTTAAAATTAGTTACAAAGATCAAAACATTAAAAAAAAAAAGCTGGAGTGGTTTTCCTGAGCATAAAAATGTATCCTTTCAGAAAGAATTAATTTGATAAAATTACTCATTAGGCCCATGTCTCGTGTCATTATAGCTGTAGTGTCTAAAATAACTTCAACTTTTGGAAGAAGCCAGTACAACATCTAAGTTATTTAATTAGGTCAGACAGTAACTAACTTGTCTTTCCACTACTGGTCTTTGGAGGTTATTAGTTACAATCATCCTCTGTTGGTTTGAGAAAGTTAGTGTTTCCTGGGGGTATCATTCCAACCATGTATGGGTAATGTCATAAAGGATCAGAGTTTCGCAACCCACCCACCCACCCCCACCCACCCCGCCGCCGGATGACACCACCACAGTTGACTTGGATAGACCAATGGTCATGACCTAATGTGTTGCTTTTAATACACATATCTTTCGTCATTTTCCTTTCTCTGAGTTCAGGGCCACCAAGATGAAAGGTTTATATAACGTTGGAAAGAAAATGGTAAGGAGTCATAGGCTCAGAGAATTCTTTGTGTTGGTAGAAGAGTTCAGCTCTCCTCATCCCCTTCTGTTGGTGTAGCCACAAGCTGTGGGTTAAGACCCAGGAGACTTTTAATCTTCCAGAAGTTCAGGCACTCTCCTTGATTTTTAGACCTTCCTTTAAACCAGCCTTGATTCCCCGAAGTTGCAGTACATAGAGGCAGGCTCTAGGAAGGACGGCTAACTTAAGTCGGTTCTGACCTTGCCTTTGCAGCGCGAATCCCCCTGACCAGTACTGTCACCGAGGAGGCTGGATGGGTTTACCCACTTCCCTGAAGCAATATCAATTCTTGAACACTGCTTTGTGCCCATAGGTTCTGCACCTTGGTCTTTTTCAAACTCGTAACAACTCTACAAGTTAAGTACACATGAGGAAAAGGTAGCTCAGAGACACCAAGCACTTTGCCCAACGTCACACAGTTCCTAAGGGGCAGAGCAAGCTTCTGAGCTCAGGTCCAGTTAGCCTTGGGGTTAGCGTAAGGTCTAACTCTGAAGTCCAGCATCTTCCCTGGCCCTCTTTAGGAAAGTGGGTCACCCCAATACACTGCCCTTCAATAACCCACTGATCATGGGGAAGATTTCGTAGGTTGATGTGAATCAGTCTTCTCTTGGTGCATCTGTTAAGTCTGGAATGCCCCAGGCATGCACTGTGCCAGTCTGGTTGGTTCTAGGGATAGTTTAGGAGGTAGTGATTATCAAAGTACGTCCCTTAGACCTATGGCATCTATGCTCCCTATGAACAGGTTGGAAACGCACCTTATCAGACCCCACCAGAGACTTACTGATCAGAAACTCTGAGGGTAGGGCCCGGGGATCTGGGTTTTGGCAGGTCATCCAGATGGCTCTCCTGGATAAGCAAGGTCAGAGAACCACTGGTCTAACCTCTCCATCTTGGGGAGAGCAACGCCTATTTCCTCCTCCACCCTGCGATTAGGATTTTTCCTCTGGGTACCTGAGGTTTTATTCACCACACACGTGCCCCTAGGAGCCCAGTGGGTATGTTCAAGTGTCTCCAGGCTTTCTGGGATACAGGGACTTAAAAAAAAGAAAATAGGAAGAAGCAGAAAAATTCTGCCTCTCCCTTCCATGTTCTCTAATAAATACCCACCCCTTTATGATTCCCCTTTCCAAAAGGAACTTGGTTTTCTTGTTTCTTGGAATCCCCCCTGCCCCTGACAAGGATATGTAAAGAAGATAAGAAAAAGGTTGTCTCTGACTATGTGAGGCTGTTGCTTATTAACAGCAAGTTGTAGTGGAAGGATGAGCTGTGGAGACCTATGGAACTGTGGTTAAATATCATTTCTACTGGCTTTGAGATTTTGGGAAAGAATCCGTTCAAATCTCTGAACTTTTTCTTTTCCTCCCATTTTTGATGCAAAGAAAATAATACCACATATGGCTGTTGTGGGAATCATATGATGTGGAAGGTGCCTAGCACAGTGCCTGACATCTTATAAACAACAACCATTATCATTATCGAGAGCGAAATGGTCTTATTTTCTCGGGCGTAGAGATAAGGAAGCCTCTGGGTAAATTTGGTGTGTGTTCCTTGGGGATCAAATTTATTTCTTGGTAAACAATAGAAATATGATATATTAAAATCAGGGTTCTGTTGAAGCTCTCCCACATGTTTTTGAATTTTGAATGGAAAGCAGGTCTTAAAGAAAATCTAGACTTCAGAAAACTGGCTTTATCGCTTTGTATCCTATCCTTTCTGGTAGTCCCATCCCTGAGTATCATGTCCCTCCTGCTTGCCCTTACTCATATCTCACAGGAGCAATGTGGGAAGCGCTAGAAAGGAGGACTCTGACCTGTGGGTGAAAGCTGTAAGTAGGCAGATGATGGTAGAGCTGGATGTCACTTTCTAACAATTAGGGAGAGAGGCTCTGTGGTAATGGGGAGCCTGCTGGAGATGTCCTAAGTGGGGTTTGTGGGGGGTCGGTAGGAGTTGGTTCCTCCCACATCCTTCCCAACCATGAGAGCCTTCCAGGTAGGATTCTTCCCCTAGCAGCTTGACAGATAACACTGGTGCCTATTTAAATGAATGAAAGAATGAGTAAGTGAATGAATGGACGAGCAGCTGCCCTTTGATTCTCTACCCCCAGGCCACTGTACCCTTCTATACCCACCATCACTGAGCACCCTGACTCCACTCAGACTTTCAGTAGCACCCTCACCTTCTGGTTGGGATTATGCAAGTAACAGAGCTGCAAGTAACAGAAAACCAGCCTTAAACTAGGAGGAGTTTATTTACCTGACAAAATAAGGAGTCTTGTTCTTTTCCCTCATGGTTGCTTAATGGCTGCTGAGTTCCGGCAATCACATCATCCTGGCATTCGAGGGCAGAAGAGCAAGGACAGGAGGAGAGTCCTGCCAACAGATACCTGCTTCTGCCTCCCTGTCACTTCTCCACGGCTCTTGACATACCATCCCAAACTGGGACATCAGCAACCACCATTTATTTGACTCACATCTATGTGGGGAGGCAGCTGGGGCAGGCTCGGCTGGGCACGGGTTTTCTCTGTGGGGTTTCCTCATGGGTCAGCAGGGTGGGTCATTCTCTGAAGGGGGCACTGGGCCACATGCCTGTCAGGCTTCCCTGAGCTTGTCCTGCCCAGCCAACCAGCAGCATTTCCAGAAGAAGGCTGAAGCCGCTTCGGGACCAGTCCATCACTTTGCCCTCCTCTGTGGGCCAAAGCAAGTGACGAGGCCAGTTCAGCCACGAGAGCTAGAAAAACAGAGGCCGCCTCCTCATGGGAATGACTGTGAAGTCACAAAGCACAGAGATGTGCTTCCGCGGAGGGCCAGAGAAGGGAGCCCATTCATCAAGGGCAGACTCATTAACCAGAACTGAAACTGGCAAAGCGCCTTCCTTCCTGCCTTTGTCCTCCCCCTCCCCCATCTCTTTCTTCCCTCTAAGCTTTACCAGACCCTGTCATAATGACAAGCCAGGGAAAAGGGGGGCTGGGAAAGAGCACTGGGATAAAGCACTTCGTAGTACCCATTGTATCATTGAACCCCCTCCTTGACTTTGCTAATAAAGTTCTTGGACCCGTATCCTATTAGACTGTCAGAAACCTCAGCCCCAGTGAATTCCTGCGGATATACCTCGAGAAGCATTCATTTTGGCCCAGGCAGCCCTCAAAACCAGGTCCAGTTGAGGGGTTAAAGGAGGGGGAGAGACACAGACAATAGGCCTCCTTTCTTCCCGCTGCCCCTCCCAGCCATTGAAATGTCAGTCAGCGCTAATTCTTGCAAAGTATCTGTGAGTACAGAAGGGCCACCTTCCCCGCTGTGTTCCTAGCTCTCCCTAGGAACATACTCTGTGATAAGGTATGAAAGGAGACCTTCAAAAACCCACATATACGTCTCCCTAAGGATTTTTACTTGAAAGCCAAATGATTTGTAAATGGCATGTAGGTAAATAATCAGTCTGGATGCAGAAACTTGCTGGCTACATTGGTGTTTCAGGGACTATATATGTGTGTGTGTGTGTGTGTGTGCGTGTGTGTGTGTGTGTGTATACTCTGAAGGTAAGGCTATTGTTCACAAAGAAAAAAAACTAATAACCTCATGATCTAAAGCTTATAAAATCATAGTGAGCCTTTCTTATGTATTTATTGTGTACCTGGTCAAGTGCTAAGCTTTGGCAGAATCTTTTTTTTTAAAGATTTTATTTGTTTTTTCACTTGACACAGAGAGAGAGAGCGCGCACAAGCAGGGGGAGCAGCAGGCAGAGGCAGAGGGAACAGCAGGCTCCCTGCCAATCAGGGAACCTGATAGAGGGCTCGATCCCAGGACCCTGGGATCATGACCTGAGCCCAAGGCAGACGCTTCACCAACTGAACCACCCAGGCACCCCACAATGATAGTCCGATTTAATTTTCAAACTTTCTAACGAAGTAGGAAATATCCCTGTGTTTACATAGGAGGTGTCTGAGGTACAGATCTGGAAGATAAGTTTTCCAAGATCACTCTGGAAGAATCAGGATTCAATTTCATCTCTGTCTGACTGCAAGCCCTTATTTCTAACGAGGAGAACGCACCGTGTTCTATTTATTTATAATCCGTGGTGCAAAAGTCATTAGAGTAAGCCTAGAAAAGAATTCATGCTTCCTAAGTATCCACTGACAGTCTTGACTGATGGAGCCCTGTGCCTGTGTGAGAGCCAAGACACTCAAAATTCAAACAAATGCCTGAGTTACTCAGGGCTCCAATGACCACGGTGCTGTTGAGCAGATGAGAATATATTACTTAAGATGGATGATTATCGATAATTGCAAAAGGTGTAAACAAGATCTTATTAATGAAGCAGTTCATTAGCTATGTCAGTTTTGCATATCAATCTACAGTTATAGGTCAGGAGCTTGTGGTGGGTTTTGCTATTGTTTACTGCTTGGTTTTTGTCTCTGTGCCACAAGGTTTTGGTGTCCTCCAACAGATTAGTGTTTCCTAAACCATGTTCCACAGAATAGTACCTTTATGATGTGTTTGTAGGAGTCCCATGAACAACAACAACAAAAAAGTCTCACAGCCAAATAAATTTATAAAAGTTAGGACTCGTTAACATTTAAAGTTTATTGCTTTACTGCGTGACTTATCAGAGCCGTTTGGTGCAGTCTGCATCTTGGCCCTCGGAGATGGCGGTAGAGTTGGCTTGGTTGGCCATACCTGTTGGGTGATGGGAAATACTGTTTGATTACAGGTCAGTCTGATCTTGTAGGTTGGAGTTCATAAATGAGAGCAGACCTGTAGAGATCTCCAATCCCACTCATGTATACCATGTCTCATGTGTTTTTTAAATTATTTTCTTCCCAACCTTCTAAAAATTCTTTTCAGTTTGAACGAAAATTACTTTGCTTTTGGGAGATTCAGGACTTCCAGGGGCAGCTGGCTGGCTCAGTTGGAAAAGCATGTGACTCTTTCTCTTGGGGTTGTCAGTTTGAGCCCAACAGGGGTTATAGAGATTGCTTAAATAAACAGAGATTTAGGACGTCCCATGTTTGTTTACCTAAAGAAACACAATTTATGTGTTAGCTTTTAAAGACCAAAGTACATTTATTTGGCTCTTTGTGTATACTGATTACGTACAAAAGTGTGATGTCTCCTTGCTGAGACATCACTTCACATGTCTAGTGCCAAATTCTAGAAAGAAAACTGAACTGGGGCTGAGGTGGAGGGAGGGGGAGGAAACTACCATTTCTGGAGGGCTTGTCTTGTTTAAGTCCTTCTTATGTCTGCCTTAACCCTTTCAGAAGCCCTGGAGGTGGGTCTTTGTGTTTTCACTTTGCAACTACAAAATTTGCTTCTCAGAGATACCAGACTATTGAAGCTTACACAGATAGTAAGCATAAGACTCAAGATGTGAACCCAAATCTATCTGACCCTAAAATGTCTAATCCACTTCTCAAGCCAAAAAAAAAAAAAACAAAAAACCACCAACCCAGAATGAAAATAAAATGATAAGAAAACTACCACTTAGAAATAGGTTTGATTGACAAAGGGATAGTAGTAATAGCAATAATTGCTATCATTTTACCCCCCCTTGGGACTGAAGAGGCTAAAAGAGAAAATAACCGGTATCTATTCAACCAGAAAGAGTAAGAAACTCATCTAGTCTGTTGGCTAGGTTTGAAAATTAAGGACTGCTCCTTATAGCTTGACTAGGATTATTTTCAGAAAGATCATACAATTAATAAAGAAAATAGGTAATAAGGGGCGCCTGGGTGGTTCAGTCGGTGAAGCATCTGCCTTTGGCTTGGGTGATGCTTCCTGCTCAGGCTCCCTGCTCAGCGGGGACTCTGCTTCTCCCTCTGCCCCTCCCCTCGCTCCTGCTCTTTCTCTCAAATAAATAAAGAAAATCTTAAAAAAAAGAAGGAAAGAAAGAGAAAGAAAGAAAGAAAGAGAAAGAGAGAAAGAAAGAAAGAAAGAAGAAAGAAAGAAAGAGAAAGAAAGAAAGAAAGAAAGAAAGAAAGAAAGAGAAAAAGAGAAAAAGAAAGAAAGAAAGAAAGAAAGAAAGAAAGAAAGAAAGAAAGAAAGAAAAGAAAGAAGGTTGGGGCACTTGGGTGGCTCAGTGGGTTAAACCTCTGCCTTCAACTCAGGTCATAATCTCAGGGTCCTGGGATCGAATCCCTTATCAGGCTCTCTGCTCAGCGGGGAGCCTGCTTCCCTCTCTCTCTCTGCCTGCCTCTCTGCCTACTTGTGATCTCTCTCTCTGTCAAATAAATAAATAAAATCTTAAAAAAAAAGAGGTGGTAAAATTCTTGTATTGGCAGGAAGAGAGGGTTTGTTCAAAAAATATGAAGTAGATGGAAGTAGTTGGCTACAATATTGAGTATTAGTGTCTGGAACTTCTGATTGCAGGATTATGTGAGACGATGGTCCTTATCACAACATGACCTTTTGGTACCATCTGATGACCAAGTCATTCAGAGAAATGGCGCTGCAGGTTCACCTTGAGACATGGACAAAACAGTGAGACACCCTTGGCCTTTTGTAGATGGGGGCCACTTCTGAGATGTTACCTTTGCTTATATCAGGACTTGCTAAGATACTTCATATCATCTTTTGTCAAAGTCACTGCTGGCATTTTGGCCATGATAAGAATAGAACTTTTAGAAGTCGAGCTAGAGTGTGGGTCTTTTTGGAAGCAACACAACAGATCAGTAGCTGGGATGGATGTTCCCATCTGAATAAACCCAGCATCTATCATTCGATCAGGGACAAGATCTAGGACTTAGCTTGGTCATTTTTAAGGGAAGGGTGACAAGGAGGAGGACTTGAGAAATAAACACCAATGTGCCCTCCCTATCTTGTGAGCCAGGGGTACAGGTTGAATATAAGCCACATGTGGCCTCCAACTTGAAAACAAGCAAATGCCTTCCAAATATAGGAAATAAGACTGAACATGTCACCATATCTCAAAAAAAAAGTGAAATATGTTTTGGTTCTTTATGCTCTGTGACTACCCTCTCTACTTGGCTGGGATCTGCTCTCTCAATGTCATCTCATGGTGGATATTTTATTAGTAATGTTCTTGGGGCACCTGGGTGGCTCAGTTGGTTGAGCATCTGGCTCTTGGTTTCGGCTCAGGTCATCATTTCAGGGTCGTGAGATCAAGCCCCCACTTGGGTTCCATGCTCAGTTTTTCTCCCTCAGCTTGAGATTTTCTCCCTCTGCCCCTCCCCCTGTGTGCTCTCTGCCTCTCACTTTCTCCCAAATAATAAATCAATAAATCTTCATGAGTATCATCCTTCTTGGTTCTATCTTATTGTATAAGAGACTTCTCTGTTACACATTTCCTCCCACATCTCCTTCTCAGCCATCCCCATCCTGCCCCGCAAGACACACACACACACACACACACCCTCTTTGGCTTGATTCTTGGCTTCATCACTGAACAGCTATGTGATGTCTCTTAACATCTTGGAGGCTATTTCCTCATATACCAAAGAGAAGTAATAACTTCTCTGCCCACGTCATGTTGCGAACTGAAATGTGCTATCTAAATATAAATTTGTTGTTGTGACTATTACTGCCCTGTGCCCATCTTTCCCAGCGGAGCATAAGCATGCCCCTGGTTGAAGCTGTCAGTCATTGCGTGTGCTGGAAAGTCTGATGGAGAAAGAAGCACCTCTCCCTCCCACCCCACCCGCCCACTGTTACCGTCACATTCTGGAGTCTATGATGGATTTGTTCTTTTCACTTTTAACTACTTGAGTGGTGTTTCTGGTCAGTGGAGAGCATTTCATTTCTATTGCGTTTTCATCTGCTCCGTGATTGCTGCTAATTGGGGACCTGTTTGTCTTTCCATTTCTCTGCTCACCTGGCTTTTCTTCTGTCTTCCTGGGAGATGGGAGGCTGCCGGAAACGTCAAGGGCTGTGAGTAAGCTGTTAGGTTTAACAAAGAGCTAGGACAGGAA